CCTCCAAAATCTGCTCCTCCATAAGAGCAATAAGAACACTAAAAAACTGGTCAAAATCAACTTTTTCAAAACACTGGGAATTAAAGAAACCCTTTAAACAAGGGGTCCTCAAACTACGGCCCGCGGGCCACATGCGGGTGGTTTTTGCCCATTTGTTTTTTTAATTCAAAATAAGAAATGTGCAGTGTGCATAGGAATTTGTTCATACTTTTTTAAAACTATAATCTGGCCTTCCAACAGTCTGAGGGACAGTGAACTGGCCCCCTGTTTAAAAAGTTTGAGGACCCCTGCTTTAAACTATCTGAAGAACGTTTATTCAAGAAAAACAGCTGAATTTTGGTAAGAACAAGGAGTTTTATGCCATTTTCACTTACCCTATTCCCATTCTCTCTCCCTAGCTCTATGGTAGCCACTAAACAGGCAGAAGAGGTCCCCAAGACCCCAGCCACAGAGAACTGTCACTCTGAGACTTCTCTGGCTGCCCTCTGGAAGTGCCTCATGGAAGGACTTGTCTTTATCTGACTTGACTCAAGAGTTCACTCTGTGAAAACAGCCCAGTCCTCAGGGCACGTGTCAGAAGGAATCAGTGGCAAATGGTTCACACTGCAGTAGCCTGAAGCTGTGACACCAGCTGGGCAAACAAGAAGGCTGCCAAAAACCCTGACAGAAAAAGCTGGACAATGAGATGTCCATGGAGGACTCTGAAAAGCTCCACCATATGTGTGGGGATCTAGGGATCCAATTGGCCCTGCGCCTGCGCAGCACAGACCTCAGAAGGCCCTTAACTTCCCTTCTGGTTGCCCAGGAAGCTCAGTGCAGGTGGGAAGGCAAGGCCAAGGCAGAGAGGTCCACCGCTGGAGCACCACAGGTGAGCACCAGCAAGCCCACACAGCCCTCAGGCAAAGACCAGGAGACTTACTGGTTTTGGAAATTTAAGGAAATCTCTGTCCAATAATCAGGTGACCACTTAGCTAATAGAAACTGTGACTTCAGTGGCCACTTATGACAAGACTTCACAAAATTAGTCTAGGAAAGTCACTATTACAAGCTGAACCGTGTCACTCAGAATTCATATGTTGAAGTCCTAAACCCCAGGACCTCAGAATGTGACTATATTCGTACAGGGTCTCTAAAGAAGTAATCAAGTTACAAAGGAGGTCATTTAGGGGGCCCTTACCCAGAATGACTGGCGTCCTTATGAAAAGGGGAAATTTGGAGGACAAACATGTACTGGGAGGAAGGCATGAACATGGAGACCACCAGCATCAAACCCAGGAGCAAGGCATCCTCGCACAGCCCTCAGAAGGATCCAACCCTCTTGGCACCCTGACTTTACACTTCTAGCCCCCAAAACCATGAGACAATATACTTCTGTTATTTAACAGAAGTGTCAGTTTGTGACACTTCGTTACAGCATCCCTTGAGCAACTACCACGAATAGCAAAAATAATCAACTCTGGGGTAGGTAAGGTCATCTGATTTCCAGAGCTGCCACATACTATTTTAAATTTCCCATTCTAAACAAAAAATACTATGAGACATGCAAAGAAATAGGAAAGTATACATAGCCCGCACAGGGCTGGAAAAAGCAGTTAATATGATATACACTATCTCTGAGGAGACTGGACTTGCCAAACAAAGGCATTAAATCACCTACAATGAACATGTTCAAAGAACTAAAAAAAAAGTCTACAAAATGAAAGAATAACCACATACAGAATATCAAAGAAGAAATACAAATTATGAAATGTTCACTAGAGGGGTTCACCATATTTGAGCAGGCAGAAGAAAGATCAGCAAACGTGAAGACAGAACAATTGAGATTATCCACTCTGAGGAACAGAAAGAAAAAGAATGAAGAAAATGGAGCCTCAGAGACCTGTGGGTATCACTAAGTATAACAATTGACATTAATGGGAGTCCCAGAAAGAGGAGTGAAATATTAAATAAAAGAGCAAAGAGAATATTTGAGGAAACCATGGCTGAAACTTCCCAAATTTGATGGAAAACATTAATCTATACATCTGAGAAGCTCAACAAACTACCATTAGAATAAACTTAAAGATATCCATACCTAGAGACATCTGTCAAAGACCAAAGACAAAAAAGAGAATCATTAAGGCAGCAAGAGAGGCAACGCAGTACATAAGAGCAAGCCTCAGTATGGTTAACAGACAGCTCTTCTGGAGCCCATCCTACCAAGTGAAGTATCCCAAGAATGGAAAAACAAGCACCACATGTACTCTCATCAAATTCGTATTAACTTATCAACACTTAAGTGCACATATGGACATACAGTAATAACATTCATCAGGTGTCAGGCAGATGGGAGGGGAGAAGGGATGGGTACATACACACCTAATGGGTACAGTAGGCATTGTCTGGGGGATGGACACACTTGAAGCTCTGACTGTGGGGCAAGGGGAATATACACGACCTAAATTTGGACCCCCGTAATAAGCTGAAATAAAACACAAATTAAACAAAAACAAAAACAGCCAGCTTTTCATCAGAACCCATGCAGGCTGGAAGGCAACAGGATGACATGCACCCACTGCCAAGAAAAGACCATCAACCAAGAATTCTGTGTCCAGCAAAACTATGCTTCAAAAGTGCAGGAGAAATTAAGACATTTTCAGATAAATAAAAACTCAAGAGACTTCACTGCTAGTGGGCCTGCTCTATAAGAAATACTGAAGGGCCTTCAGGCTGAAATAAAAGGACACAGTAACTCAAATCCATAAAAGATAGATCTTTGAAAAGATCAACATTGATAAAATTTGACCTAGAATAACTAAGGAAAAAAAGCAGACTTAAATGACCAAAATCAGGAATGAAAGCAGGGTCCATCACAACCTCATGGAAATAAAAAAGGATCATAAGGGAATCCTATGAACAAATATATGCTAATGAATTAGATAATGCAGATGAAATGGAAAACATTCCTAGAAAGACACAAACTTTAATACTAAAACTGGCTCAAGAAGAAATAAACTCTAAATGGACCTGTAAGAAGTAAGACTGAATTAGTAATCCAATAACTTAGGACAAAGAAAAGCTTGGGCCAAGGTTTCACTGGATGAATCCTATCAAACATTTAAAAAATTAACATCAATCCATCACAAACTATTCCACACGATAGAAAAGGAATATTTTCTTTTTCTTTTTTTTTGAGACAGAGTCTCACTCTGTTGCCCGGGCTAGAGTGCCATGGTGTCAACCTAGCTTACATCAACCTCAAACTCCTGGGCTCTAGCGATCCTCCTGCCTCAGTTTCCTGAGTAGCTGGGACTACTGGCATCCCCTACCATGCCCGGCTAATTTTTTCTATATATTTTTACTTGTCCAGTTAATTTCTTTCTATTTTTAGTAGAGAGGGGGTCTCGCTCTTGGCTCAGGTTGGTTTCGAACTCCTGATCTTGAGTGATCTGTCTGCCTTGGACTCTCAGAGAGCTAGGATTACAGGCATGAGCCACCACGCCCAGCCTGATTTTCTTAATAATAATTTGATTTTGTTTAGCTTGATTGTAAGAATACAGTATAAAATGCAAAACATACAAAGTATGTGTTAATCGACTATTTATGTTATCAGTAAGGCTTCTGGCCAACAGCAGACTATTAGTAGTTAAGATTTGGAGGAGTCGACCGGGCGTGGTAGCTCATGCCTGTAATCCTAGTGCTCTGGGAGGCTGAGGTAGGCGGATTGCTTGAGGTCAGGATTTGAAACCAGCCTAAGCAATAGCGAGACCCCGTCTCTACTATAAGTAGTAGAAAGAAATTAATTGGCCAACTAACATATATAGGAAAAATTAGCTGGGCATGGTGGCGCATGCCTGTAGTTCCAGCTACTCGGGAGGCTGAGGCAGTAGGATCGCCTGAGCCCAGGAGTATGAGGTTGCTGTGAGCTAGGCTGACGCCATGGCACTCACTCTAGCCTGGCCAACAAAGTGAGACTCTGTCTCCAAAAAAAAAAAACAGAAGATTTGGAGGAGTCATGGCCAGGCACGGTGGTGGATTACACGCCTGTAATCCTAGCACTCTGGGAGGCAGAGGCAGGTGGATTGCTCAAGGTCAGGAGTTCGAAACCAGCCTGAGCAAGAGCAAGACCCTGTCTCTACTAAAAATAGAAAGAAATTAATTGGCCAACTAATATATATAGAAAAACTTAGCCGGGCGTGTTGGTGCATGCCTGTAGTCCCAGCTACTCAGCAGGCTGAGGCAGCAGGATTGCTTGAGCCCAGGAGTTTGAGGTTGCTGTGAGCTAGGCTGACGCCATGGCAGTCAGTCTAGCCTGGGCAATAAAGCGAGACTCTGTCTCAAAACAAAAACAAAAACAAAAACAAAACCAGCCTGAGCAAGAGCGAGACCCCATCTCTACTAAAAATAGAAAGAAATTAATTGGCCAGCTAAAAATATACAGAAAAAATTAGCTGGGCATGGTGGCACTTGCCTGTAGTCCCAGCTACTCAGGAGGCTGAGGCAGGAGGATCACTTGAGCCTGGGAGTCTGAGGTTGCTGTGAGCTAGGCTAACACCACGGCACTCTGGCCTGAGCAACAGAGTGAGACTCTGACTCAAAAAAAAAAAAATATTTGGGGGAGTCAAAAGTTATATATGGATTTTCAACTACAGGGGGGGTTGGTACTTCTAATAAACCACTGCACTATTCAAGGGTAAACTGTATAAAGAACAATCTAAACCTGTGTGGCTCAAAGGCTCATTCCCACCACAGATTTACATTTACAGTGCACACTCAAGGCTGCAAAACATAAGGAACAAAAATCTCCAACAAAAAGGACATTTTTTTCCCTGCCTGCACAAAGACAAGCAAGTTTCCTCTTTTTTAAATACAAACAGAATGACCTGCAGGCTGGAGGACTAAATCCTTGGCATAGGGTGTAGAGGGCACAAGCATAGTCTGCTGGCAGTCCTGGCTCACGCTAACAGGGTGGGTGGCTGAGGTGCAGCCACAGGTCTCATGTGTAGGACCAGGACACTCACCTCAAGCTCTTCACTGTCCTTGGGCTTCTCCTCAGAGGTCTGTTTAACAAAGTCAGGGATGAGGATTTCCAGGGTGGCTCGGGCTACGGGGAAAAAAAGTCCAAGGGTGAGGCGTGGGCATAGCCTTCTTCCCAGGGCTCAGGCACACGTGCCACTCAGCTGCAGAATGAGCTGTGCACTGGCTTCCATCCCACAGTTCAGAGGGCAAGTGAGGGCCCAGGGAGTGGCAGCACTTCAAAGGCAGGGTCAGGAGAGCACAGAGTGAAAAGCTCACCCTGAGGACAGGAGAGGGGGGGGGGAAGCCCACAGGCGACATGGAGAGCATGTGCTCTCAGGGGTCCTGGAGCAGATGAGGAGGGGCTCAGATCTGCGTTCTACGGAATCCCTTGGGTGGTGTATCAGAAAATGGCTCAGTAGGCCCTGAACCGAGCAGGTGGCTGCAGGCAACCAGACCAGGCAGCAGTGGCAGGGCCTGCTATAGGCAGGGAGACACGGCCTATACAGAGGTACACTCTAGGGAGTCTGCAGGGAAGAGCACAGGGATAGCCCAGGGCTGAGAGCACAGGCACCACATAAGCAGGGCTGGGGTGCAACAGCTAGCAGGGGTCCTCAAACTTTTTAAACAGGGGGCCAGTTCACTGTCCCTCAGATCGTTGGAGAGCCACTGGAGAGTGCGGCACACATTCCACACAAGCGCACTGTGGGCCCGGGACAAGTTTGCTGCTAAGCAAGACAGGCAGCAGCAGCAAAAACATCCGGAGGGCCAGATAAATGTCCTTGGCAGGCCGCAGTTTGAGGACGCCTGAGCTAGAGGGCTGGTGGCTCAGCTCAGTCTGACCCTGCAGAGCTCTAAGTGCTGTAGGAGATCCAAGCAGAGACGTCGACAGAGGGCAGCCAGTCTGGGCAGGGGAAGTGGATCCCAGCAGGAGGGAAAGAGTGGGTGAGCTCACAGAGGGAAGCTACCCAGGGCCTGCCTCTGCATTCCTCTGCCAGACCCCACCCCACAGGTAATTGGCTCAAAACCTTGCTAACACCCAGTCTGTTGAGCTGAAAAAGTCTTTTAGGCAGAATCTAAGATAGCAGTCCTTCCTGGTGACTAGGGAGAAGTGTGCACACCCAGGACAGTGACACAGAGGGAAGGACAAGCAGTAACTACAACGCAGAAGGCTCCCAACCGTCCTCAGCGTCTGCCATTGAAAGGAAGCAACACATAGGAACATTTTGATTCCCATGAGCAAAAAACATCTGCACTGTCCCTGAGACCAAGTGTGACCAGGATATAACTGACACAGTTCCTGCTTTGAGACCTGCTCTGGGAAACACAGCAATGGTAGGAACCCCAAGAATCGACCTAAGGGTGTGACAGCCTGGGGTGTACCCAACACAACCCTGCAATGTGGCTCACACCTGAGAAGAGGCCAAATAACGCTGATGCTGGGGCAGAACGGTCTCCTGCAAAAGAATGCCCAGTTACTAGTGCCGGCTGGTACTACTGTCCACTGTTACTAGTGTTGACTGTTACTACTGCCCACTGTTACTAGTCCCCACTGTTACTATCACGTACTGTACTAGTGCCCACTATTACACACTGTACTAGTGCCCACCGTTACTACTGCCCACTGTTACTAGTCCCCACTGTTACTATCACGTACTGTACTACTGCCCACTATTACACACTGTACTAGTGCCCACCGTTACTAGTGCCAGCTGTTACTAGTACCCACTGTTACTAGTGCCCACTGTTACTATTATGACTGTACTAGTGCCCACTGTTACTACTGCCCACTGTTACTATTATGCACTGTACCAGTGCCCACCATTACTATTACGCACTGTACTAGTACCCACTGTTACTATCACGTACTGTACTACTGCCCACTGTTACTAGTGCCCACTGTTACTGTTACGCACTGTACTAGTGCCCACTGTTACTATCACGTACTGTACTAGTGCCCACTGTTACTAGTGCCCACTGTTACTGTTACACACTGTACTAGTGCCCACTGTTACCAGTGCCCACTGTTACTAATGCCCACTGTTACTATTATGCACTGTACTAGTGCCCACTGTTACTATTATGCACTGTACTAGTGCCCACTGTTACTATTATGCACTGTTACTAGTGCCCACTGTTACTATTATGCACTGTACTAGTGCCCACTGTTATTATTACACACTGTACTAGTGCCCACTGTTACTATTATGACTGTACTAGTGCCCACTGTTACTAGTGCCCACTGTTACTATTATGCACTGTACCAGTGCCCACCATTACTATTACGCATTGTACTAGTGCCCTCTGTTATTAGTGCCCACTGTTACTATTATGCACTGTACTAGTGCCCACTGTTACTATTATGAACTGTACTAGTGCCCACTGTTACTACTGCCCACTGTTATTATTATGCACTGTACTAGTGCCCACTGTTACTATTACGCACTGTACTAGTGCCCACTGTTACTATTATGCACTGTACTAGTGCCCACTGTTACTACTGCCCACTGTTATTATTATGCACTGTACTATTGCCCACTGTTACTATTACGCACTGTACTAGTGCCCACTGTACTAATGCCCACTGTTACCAGTGCCCACTGTTACTAATGCCCACTGTTACTATTACGCACCATACTAATGCCCGCTGTTACTAGTGCCCACTGTTACTGTTATGCACTGTACTAGTGCCCACTGTTACTAGTGCCCACTGTTACTATTATGCACTGTACTAGTGCCCACTGTTACTACTGCCCACTGTTACTATTATGCACTGTTACTACTGCCCACTGTTACTATTACACACTGTACTAGTGCCCACTGTTACTATTATGCACTGTACTAGTGCCCACTGTTACTATGATGCACTATAACTGTTGGCAAGTTTATTCTGCCCACTGTTAATTACACCACTGTACTGGATGGCCACTGTTATATATGCACTGTACTAGCTGCCACGTTATACGTTGCCCCACTGTTGCGATATGTCATGCACTGGTTACTAAGGCCCACTGTTACTGATTACACACCTTTCTTTTGTTTTTTACTAGTGGGCCACTGTTACCAGGTGCCCACTGACTATATGCATCTATACTAGTGCCCATTACTACTGCCACTGTTACATTCCACACTGTTACTATGCCCATGTGTCTACTATTATGCACTGTACTAGTGCCCACTTTACTATGCTGCCCACTGTTACTATTCATGCACGTACTATGCTCCTGTTACTATTACACAACTGTATAGTGCCCACTGGTTATCAGTGCCCACTGGTTACGTATATGCATGGCATACTAGTGCCCAATTATACGCCCACTGTTACTATTATCACACTGTACTAGTGCCCACTGTTATATTCACACTGTACTAGTGCCCATGTTACTATTATGCACTGTTATAGTTCCACTGTTATTATGCACTTGTCACGTAGTTACACTGTTATCCAGTGCCCACTGTTACTATATGCATATACTAGCTGCAATTGATACTAGTGCCCACTGTTCCACTTTGCCGGACTGTTAGCTATATTGCATGTACTAGATTGCCCAGCTGTTACCTATTACTGCACTGTACTAGTTACCACTCGTTACCGTGCCCATGTTACTATATGCACTATACTAGTGCCCACTGTTATATTCGCACTTATAATGTGCCACTGGTTACTACTGGCCATTGCTTACTAGTGCCCTGTTACACTGGCCACGTGTTACTATTACACACTCGTACTCAGTGCCCACTGTTTACTATATGCATATACTAGTCTGCCATTGGTTACTAGTGCCACTGTTAGCCACTGGCCCACTGTATATTAACCACACTTACTACGTGCCACTGTTACTATTAGTGCACTGTTATCTAGTTGCCACTGTTTTATGCACTGTATCTAGTTACCCATGGTTACCGAGGTGACGCCATTTACATATGCACCTATACTTAGTTGCCCTCTGTTACTAGTGCCACTGTTACCACTGCCCACTGTTACTATTAGCACTGTACTACGTGCCCATGTACTTATTGATGCATGTTACTAGTTACCACTGTTCCAGTGCACACTGTTACTATATGCACTATACTAGTGCCCAGCTGTATTACTTTACGCACTGTATAGGTGCGCACTGTTACTACTGCCATTGTTACTATCCGCGGTTTACCACTGCACTGTTGGACTATTACACGCTGTTTACTAGTCCCAGCTCGTACTATATGCATATCTAGTGCACATATGCTTGACTAGTGCACCAACCTGTTACCACTGACCCACTGATTACTAAGAATTAACACAGTAGTATGTGCCGTGTACCTATTATGATACGTTTACTAGTTCCCCAACTGTATACTATTATAGAACTAGTACTTTACCTGTTACCCAGTGCCCACTGATTACTATATGCACTAGATATAGTGCCCATTGGTTGTACTGTGCCACTGTTTACCACTGCCCACTCGGTGTTTTTACGCACTGTACTAGTGCCAGCTGTTTTATTAGTGCACAGAGAAAGCAAACAGAAGGATGGGATGGGCTGCAGACACAGCTTTCAAGGTAGGTTATGAGTCGCCAATATGCTATGAGAACTGTGCTGATCCCAATCTGGAGTCTGAAAGGACTCAGGAAAGAGTCCGCGATAATGTCAACCACTTCCGCCCAGAGGGTGCTGACAGCACGCTGATCACTCTTCTCTCCTTGTCGTGCTCACATATTGCCCAGTTTAAAAATAATAAAACTTATTGCTACAGTGTGCACTCAAACACAACCCAGTTAGCTCTGAGCACACACCCCCAAATCCGATTGGTAGGCTGAGAAAGGACAGGACTATTACCTCAGGTATCAACTCAGTCAGAAGATAGTGGACTCTTACTAAAATTAAGTACAATAATTCAAAAATAATAAAATATTAGAGTATATAATAATATATCCAAACATGAGATGTAATATAACAAATACAAATAGAGTAGAAAATAAATTAAATAATGAATAGTAAGTTAACTAGAAATAGATCAGCAACCATAAAGAGTTACACCATATGGAGAGAGGAAAAAATTGAAAGCAAGAAGAGAATAATATATAGAACAGAAGAAGAGAATAAAATCAGTGTCCACTGAGACACACTGCATGAGCACATAATACCAACGGTGCAGTGTCCCTGAGAACCCGCAAGGCCTACAACCAGAAGTTGCCGATGTCCCTGAGACCCCCGCAGGCACATTACCAGGTGCACGTGTCCCTGAGACCCCCGCAGGCACATTACCAGCTTTATTCTTCGCAAGTTTTTTGCTGCTTGCAGTTCCAGATCCATAAGTCACACCATCAATGGTCACCGAGGCACCAAAAGGCTCACTTGGGTTCTCTTAAAATTAAAATTACTTGTTTTAAAACACACTTGCAAGACATTAAAAGCATGCGTGCACACACAATCTAACCACACAGACAGACAAGGATGAGTCAGGAGCTGCCCTTCAGAGACCTGGGGGCTCCTGAGACACAGGGCAGGGCCACGGGCAGTCAGCAACAGAGGGCGCAGATAAGCAATCGAGGGAAATTGGGGATGGTGGGGTGGGGAGCCGAGAGGAGGCGGGAGGCTAGGGGCAGAGCCTCCTGGTACAGGGACCAACATCTATGAAAGATGGTCATAGGACTGGCAGGGCGGGAAGCACAATATGTGGTTTGCCAAAGAAACACACCCAAATGATGAGTGACCCTCTGGGCTTTCCCTTGCAAGGGGAAGATACATTGGTCTTCACAAAGGTGTGACAAGAATGCCCATGGGAGACGCAGTGGCAGGGAAGTGCAGGCCCAAGGACCCTCCGGCCACCCAGGGGTGCCAGGAGACCAGGGAAAGTTCACAGTGACAGCTCCTCAAAAGGAGGCTCTGCGACAACACAGGGCAGCAGCCAGCGAGGCAGATGGGACAGACTGGAAAGGGAAAGCACTCCCCTCGGGCAGGGCGCAGATCCATGACAACGAAGCATGTCTGCAGCATGCTCGTCTCTGCCCTGCACGCTCCCTTCATGCCAGCAGAACAGGACTACCGGCCAGCTCCCGCCTCCCTTGACCAAGTGACGTGTGTGACTCTTTAGGACTAGAATGGAGAAGGTCAAACTTACCGCATTCAAAGAAATTATAAACAGGGCGGACCTTGAGGACTCGCTGCATGTACTCGTGCAGTATGCAGACCTCGGATTTCCCATTGGGGTTAATGACAAATTCTGTGACAAGAAAAACCATCTCAGCAACAGCCAGAAGCACTGCTGCAAGCACTCAGCGACCTGGCAGCGTCACACTACTGAATCACTAACTAGGGCTCACCACTTGGAGCATGGTAGACTCTGCATTCATGGGATAAACAAGCTTTGAATGAAATGCAATTCATAGGACATACACTCTAAACACATCAACTTAGAAATAATAGCATAACCCGTCTGTTGACGTTAAAATCTGGAAGCCTGACTCACCTTTCTTTGTGGGTGCGTCTTGCACCGATAAAGTAATGAGCTTCTGATTGGCTGGCAAGATGGGCCTCTCAGACTCGGCCTGTTTCCGCTTCATTTCTCGGTTGAACTGCCGCCGCTCAGCCCAAGTCCTGAATTTTTTCACAGTAACTTGCTCAAAGTCAAAACGCTTCTCTAGGTAGTTCCGAAATTCCTCAAGATCTGTCCAAGATTACCAGAGAACCCAATTACTAAACTTCCAATGTAGGAGTCACGTGTCTGAAACTTAGTGCAGAGGACAGCGACAGGCCACCCAGTAAACAGGCCACCTGACACCCATTCCCTTTTCCCATCCCTTCAAAGGGCACCAAAAGCAAAGAATCAGGTCCCTCACTCTGCCAGCACATATCATTCTGGCAGGTCACTTACAGACAAATTTCTGGGATATCCTTTATTTGGAACAAAATCAAGAATATAAAAATGAAAAGAAAAAAAGGAAGCAAAAAAAAAAAAAAAATCAGATGGCCTTCTGGACTTTCTCTCTGTATGAAAACAAATGCCAGACTACCAGCAGCAACTCAGGCTCCCATGCAATGGTGGCCCCGCACCTCTCTGACCACCGTGTTTTCTTCCTCTGGCCACTTCCACACACACATCAGCCAGCAATACACGGACAACCAGAAACCCAGAACATGGGAAGTGCTCTTTGAGAGTGACCCAACAGGTGGGCTGAAAGAGATTTGCCACCACTGAAGAGAGAGGTAAGACTCAAATGGGTAGAACTAAGCTAAAAGATATGGAAGAGAGAATGAGAAACACTGGCACACATGCAAAAGCAACAGTAGGAATTAAGAGGGAACTGTCACAGAACAGTGACAGTTTCCCAACACTGAGTACATGCATTGAAGAGGCTCACTCTGAGCTCATCAGGAAAAATAAAAATAATGCCACATGTGCAAATCCTACTGAAAAAGAAAGGCTTCCAGAAAGACCATACAAGTGACCAGAGAGCCAAAGGCCTGTGGGCAGTGCTGGCAGCCACTTCCCCAAAGCAGCCACAGCGCAGCTCTGCAGAGCCCAGGCAAGGGGCTAGGGAGCTGCACCGGGCGGGTTCTTGCAGGAGCAGGAAGACAGGCCTTCCCAGCCACACGAGAGGACAGGCACAGCACCTTCCTCAGACACACAGAGGAACTAGGGATGATGGCCTTTAGCAGGAGGAATGAGCCCCTGGGCAGGGCATGGATGCAGCTGTACTCCCACAGACAGGTCCCAGGCAGCAAGGACAGAAAGCTCCTTCAGGAAACTTACCAACTGACTCGTCTTTGCACACCTCAACTTTGGCCTTCACCTGCCCCAGGGCCCCAGGGGCTGCCTCAGCCCCTAGCGGGTCCTTCTCATCCGGTGGCCCTGAGTCAGCGCCCATGGAGTCAGGATCATCCAGGGGGAACTCCAGCTCTACGGATCGGGTCAAGGGCTTGATGGGGGACACTTCCCCACTGGGGGTGAGCTCACTGTTTTGCTCCCGCTCCTCATTGTCCTTCATTTTCTTATAATGTAGGCAAGGGATGCTACTCAGAGGAGGGTCATGCTTCTGTGGACAGAAAAGTACAACACAGATTACAAGGATGACCCCAAAAGTCTGAAAATCTGATGGCTTTCACCAGCCTCTGCTTGGCTACAGTGTAATGTGTGTAGACGTGCAAGTTTTGGTCTGAGAACTTACAAGCCTAAAGTCACGACTGATGCCTCCCCTACCCGTATGCTTCCCGTTCCCAAGAAGTATGGCCTGGACCAGGTGACCACCCGAGACTCTCTGTGTAGGTACACGGGGACTCCGGAGTTATGGAATGTCATGATCCACCCATCGGGCAGCGGTTCCGTAGGTGGGCGGCCACGACCTGCACAGAAGATGAGAACATCCCACAATCACTTTAAAAACACTTAGAACTGTTGCCACTGCACCTCCTACATGTGAAACTGCTCCATATTTGTGAACTTGTTTACCTGGGTCTTCCCAGAGAACCTAAGCTCCTGTCTACCTTGTTCACTGCCATGCCCCCAGGGCCTAGGACAGCATGTGGCACAAGGTGGTAATGAAATGTGTCAAACCAGCACATGAAAGAGCACAGAACAAGTCCTCTCCTGCCTGCCTGGCCATGACCAGGAACACTCCAGAGCTAGGTAAGCTTTGCTGATAAACTGCATGTCTGTCAGCTGCTGCTCCCAGTGACCAGGTGACAAGTCTTTATCAAAACTGAGCTACACACTCTCACCAGCATACGAAACACTACTTGGAATTAGTAAGTCTCTAAATGGGTTTTAAGACACCCTTCCCAACCCCTTCCAGGTAGTCATGAGCAAGAGGTTTAAGATTTATCATCCACTCGACACCTACCTGACAGATCTATTACTAAAAAGAGCACAAGGCAAAGATTTAACTAAAACTAAATTTCTTATAGGTATTGGGAACAAATTAAAAATTTAGAAACAAAAGAAAAAAAAAGCACGTGAAATCTAAAAAAAAAAATATGTGGAGAAAAAGGTTCCAGTGACTCTCATAAAAGGAAGTGGCACCTCACAGCCAGGACCCAGCCGCAGCTCTCACCCTGAGCCTGGCACCTACACACAGACCCATCAGGTGATGGCCCCAGGAAGGGAGTGACACAGGTCAGGGTGCATGCACACCGTGGGGTGCTCTCTCAGGAGCTCTGCCAAAATGGAGCTGCCTCACTGCAGCTCTGGGCTAAGTCAGGAGAAGTGGCAAATGGAATACAGAGCCAAGCACAAGACGGGACACGGGTCAAGCCAGGCTGCTCCTCTGTGACAGTGAGCGGACACAAAGTCAACCTAGCCACCTGAAGAGCTCACACACAGTTGTCTGTGTATGAGCACCCAGGTAGGCAGGCCAGGCCTGCTGCTGACCTGTTGGCTACACAGAATGGACAGGGGCTTCCCTGCTCGGAGTGGGCCTGCTGAAACCACAGAGGGGCAGGAGCCAGCCCTCCAGGCACTGAGGCAGACTGCCCCTGCCTCTTCCAGAAGCTGCAGCCCTGGGTTCATCTTGTCTGTCACCACCTATCCCAACAGTCCTCCTGTTCAACTGCTTGAGCTGGCCATCCTTTCAGCAGCCCAAGGACAGGGGTCTTGTGCCACCCACCCTTTGCTTTCCTCCCAGTTGCACCTTGCCACCTTCTGCACTATGGCCCTCAGCCCAGGGTCTCACCTGTGTGCTCGAGTCCCCGTGTGTCTCTTCAGACCCTCTACCAAGCCCAACACCTCCACTGGGACACTCATAGGTGCCTCCAGGCCATCAAACCCTACTCCTCCCACACCTGCACTGCATCGAAGACAGAGCCTCACAAAGTTACTCTGGGCGCCTTCCAACTGCTCTCCCCAAAATCAGTGCAAGTCTCACCACCTGTACCTCCAAAGCACTTCCACCTCTGCCCAAGGAGCTTCCCCTGCCCACCAAAAACACAAGTGCCACACTTTCAAACAAAAATCAGGTAATGCCCACCCGCTTCTGGTGGCTTCTGTGGCACTTGGCATGAAACAAAAACCTGGACCACCACCTGCTTCTGTGATACTTGGAGTAAAACAAAAACCTGGAACGTCACCTACTTCACTGAGCACACCTCTGGTCTTGGCTCCCAGCACATACCAACGAACCGTCCTTGGGGTCTGCTCCTGATCCCTGAGAGGCTCCTTCCCATTCCTCTGCACAGTCTCCCCACCCCCTGCTCTGTGCTTTCCACGGCACCTCCCAGAATCTGCACCTGGGCTGTGTCTCAGCAGGCATCCCAAACCCGGTCTGTTTTGCCCTTAGACATGACTGTCCTGTCCCGAAACACATGCCTCCACCCATCTTACTGCCTGGCACCACAGGGCTTTCAAAGCATTTTTTTTTAAGAGACAGAGTCTCGCTCTGTTGCCCAGATTAGAGTACAGTGGCACTATCATACTTCACTGTAGTCTCCAGCACCTGGGCTCAAGTGATCCTCCTGCCTCAGCCACCAGAGTAGCTAGGACTACAAGCACACACTACCATGCCTGGCTAATTTTTATTTTATGTAGAGACAGGGTCTTGCTGTATTGCCAAGGCTGGTCTCAAACTCCTGACCTCAAGCAATCCTCCTGCCTCAGCCTCCCAAAGTGCTGGGATTATAGGTGAGCCACTGTGCCCAGCCAAAGCATCTTTCCTAAGGAAGCAACTGCCCTTCTCCTGCTCTGGAAGTGCGCACTGCTTCTATGCTGCCAACTCACTTTTGAGCACTGTCTTAATCTTGGTCATCATCGGCTGCACACTCGTCTCTCCATCAGAGGGATGGTCACTGTCTCCTCCGTATTTCTCCTCTGTTCGCCTCTTTTTGGGAGCACAAAGGCCTTCTTCCAACAGAGCATCCACATCATTGTCAAAGTCATCCTGCAAAACATGCTGTTCAGACACCACAGCCCCAGAGCCTGAGCTCCTGCACGACGGGCAAGCCCAGCCGTGTACACCAGAACAGACACAGAGAGGTGCGCTCAAGGGGGCCTAGGTGTGCCCTTAGGGCGTGTGGTCATCTGAAAAACAAACGGGATGAGACCAAAAGCCGATGCCAACACACCTGGTCCAGGTGCACACACCGGCAAGGAGCACTTCTCAGCAGCACCTGCCAACTCAGGCTGGATAAAGGGTTCAAGCCCAACTCATCGGCCAAACACTTCGTTAACAAAACTTTAAAAATCCAGACTCCTTACATCTTTCTCTTCTCCACATTAACTTTATCCCACCTCATAAGGCAACTGATTTTTTAAATTTCCCTGCTCTTCAAAGATGCTGCAATTCCCAAACCCCTTTGGGATTGCTAAGAGCCCATCAAAGGAGGGGTCGCCAACATACCTCGTAGGAGAAATTCAAGGCTTCTTCGTCCACTCTGTCTCTTTGAACGATTGCTTTAGCCGTGAACCCGCCTGCTCCTTCTTCATCTAGCTCCAAATTGTCAGTAAAATCTTCTAACTCATCGAGCACTGCATACTCCACTCTCTTTTCCTGATCCAGCTCATTCTCCTCATCCTTCTTATCCGCACTCTCACCCCCTACGCCTACCCCATTACCAACACTCCCGCCAAAGGGACAAGCATGCACGTCCCCACTGACAGGGCTAAGGAGCAGACCGCATTCTGCCCGCGTGTCACGCTCCGCTCCTGTGTACAGCACCTTCCTGTCCTTACTCCTGCAGCTCTCAGTAAAGCTCACGCTAATCTTTACATCCTTAAGCAACTTAAGGTCAGGGGAGAACTTCCGGACCGCAGGTGCGTGCCGGGCGGTGCGCGGGCTGTGGCCACTATAGTTCGGGTCTATGAGGAGGCGGCCCTTAGAGAAGGATCCTTTGGAGAGAAGAGAAGCTCCGTAGAAGTTGAAGGGGTCCTCAGCAGGGGGTTCGGACTGTCCATCACCACCAGAGCCAACGTCCATTACCTCTGCACCACTGGACGTTTGCAGGGGAGGTGGTGGAGACTGCTCACGGGGCAGCGCTTGGAAGGGGCGAGCTCGGCTCTCCATCACCGCTTCTCCTGCGGGCCCACACGGGAGCAGAGAGGGGCTCTCATCTGTCTCCATATTAAAAGTGCTTAAGACTACTTTAAAAGACCAGAGTTTTACAAGCCCTCACATAAATCTACACAGCTAACATGCACAAGTCCGCCGAAACCCGGGCGCGTCCTGCCGCGCTGTGTGCTGGCGGCTTAGTCAAGCTGGCCACATTGCTCTTTTCATTAATGTAGACAGCTTTTAGAACCACTGCCTCAATTATTGGAAATCACAATGCACTCAGCTTAAGTGACTGGCGACTAAGCGAGTCTGTCTTCATGCCAGAGTGGCACCTTTCTTCTTCCACCTGAAAAGAAATTTAAAAGTATCATCACAAAATGACAGAAACCTTCCACTTCCCGGGTACCAAGTCAAAGTCAAGTGCTATTAACAGCATAGTAAAGAGCTTAAAATAATATGCCGAAGAGAACCTTTTAGACATCAGAACAAACGAGCCTTACTTTCTTATTTCAGAACCTAAATTATAATTTAAGTCCAAAGTTTAATATTTTATTAACTGTCCACTTTAATTCCTACTTCAGGAGCACAAAAATAATATAATCTTAAGGCTCAAAAAGGATAAAAAAAATTATGCTATACTGTACCACAGCACTCCCCTACCTCAGTCTACAGATAAGCAAGCACAGTGGGAGGCACCCTTTCCGGAACACACATAAGGCATGTGGCCTCCCTCAGGCCTTCAAAGCATATCAGTCCACTCACCTGCAAGGGCTGGGTCAGTCAGAGGGTGAGCGCCAGGCCCTCGGCTCAGCTCTGCGGCACTAGGGCCTCAGAGGATTGGCCAGGCGCCCTGCTACCCAGGCCCCAGGGCTCTCCTGGGCCCACAAGGTGGCACGTGGACTGGGATAGTGATGCAGCGTGCTGAGGTCACCAGAGGTGGCGGCATAGTTGTTCTGGGTAGACGAGAGGGGTGGGTGGCTGTGGGGAACGGAGCCTGCCAAGGTGTAGGGGAGAGCTACAGGAGACAACGGGAGCCAAGGCACAGAGAATCCTGGGTGTCACCTGCAGCCTGGCTCCACGACAGGGACAATAGGATCCACCAAGGGTGAAGCAACTTTGGGGTCAGAATTAGGTCTCTATTTGAGAAAAGACACTCACAGCTGTGCCAAGCAGAGGCAACAGCACCAGAGGCATGGGACAGTCTTCCACGCCAGAGGACGAAGGTGTGAAAGAGGCCCTAGTAATGGGGCTGGAGACATCAAGAACAGGGCCACAGAACTGGCACACTTGTTGACCCAATGGAGGTGGGGAGCAGAGAAAAGAGGGAACTGAGATGAGCAAGGCTCCTCCCCTGGAGGGACACACGGATTCCAGCACCTAGGCAGGAGCCTGCAGAGACTGACAGGTGCCGTGATGTGCACAGGGACGGAAGGCCAACACGCACCAACGAGGAGCAAGCTGCCAGGCCACAGGAGGATAGCTGCCTGAGGGTTAAGGATGCAACTCTAGGAAGCCTCACTACAGAGGAAGCATGACAGGTGGGATGGATGACACGAGGCAGAGAAGGCGGGGGGTGGGGGGCAGAAAACCCAGGGGCCCAGCAGGAGAAGTACATGCAGACACACATGTACATGCACATTCCCATGACGTGCACAGAAACACACCCATGCGCATGCTGTGCACACTGGTACAGACGCACACACGCATGCCCACGCCATGTGACAGCCTGATTGGTTTTAGGGACTACTCCAAAGACTCCCAGAAGGAACAGGAGACAGTAGACATCACACATTTGAGAAGTTTGGGACAGAGTATGGTGGTTGTACTTTGAAAGGAACACAACATGAAAATCAGAGGCTGCTTTAGGTTTCATCAATATACTTCACAACTATTGGCTAACTGTCTACTCAGAGGGAGGTGCTACGTGAACAAGTGACAAGGTCCCCAGGGTCTGGGCATGTTGGCAGGGCAATGACCACTGCACTGTCACTGTATTTCTAGATTCTAAGATGTCCTAACACTTTTTAACTCAATAGGAATTTAACACAAAACCTTCCCAAAGGCATGTCCATCAGAGGTGCTCAGCATCAAGGCAATACAGCACAGAGCTGACCACTGCCTTCAGAGTGCTGCAGCCAGCAGCCAGGTGGGTGTGAGGAGCACCAAGTGGGGCGAGGCCAATCTCCTGGCAAGCAAGAGAGACCACCTCAGAGAAGGGACGCATAGGTCGGCATGCCTAGCGCTCCAGACCACGAGTAAGACCAGGACTAGGCCCTCCGACCCGACAGGCCTGCAGAGACCCTCGTAAGTCAATCCATGGTTCTGGGGCAGAAAAAGCTAACTCAAAGAAGACACGAGGAGGTGGGAGGATGGGATGAGGAACTCTGCTACCATGTTAAAAGGCTAAGAAACAGCCAGTGTGGGAGCACCAAGCAAAGGTGAAAACTGCTGCAGGGCAGCGCCTTGAAGAGGTGCAGGGCAGGGAGTCCTGGAGCCAGGGAAGGGAAGATACACTCCCTGGGAAAGCAGGAAACCTGCCCAGCTCCAAAGCTCAGCGGCTGGCAGTCCCAGGCAAGTCTCTTACTCTCCCCCTGCAAACTTTCTGCATCCACTCAACAAGGTCCGCTGATCGCCTTCCATGTGGCACACACAGCACACTAGATGCTGCAGACACAAGACAGGCGAAACCCCTGCCCTGCAGAGCTCACATTTCAGCGGGTGAGATGGACAAGTGACAACTAAGAAAAACATGAATTATGACACATGTTGAGATGTGTTCAAGCTAAAACAAAACAAGGAAAGGGCTGAGGAAGGGGGGGCAGCTTCAGAAAAGGGAGTCAGAGAAGTCCTCACAGTCAGCATCCACCTGAAGGTACAGAGTGAAACAGGTAGGTGGCAAGGCTCAGAGGAAAAGCAAAGGCCCCAGGGCAGGAGCATGGTGTGGGAGGCTAGATTGGTGTGCCCAAGCGGCCTGACAGTGGGCCAGGTCAGTGAGGGCAAGTGGGACAGGGGTAGGTAGGTGTCCCAGGCTGCTGCCAGGACTTTGGCTCTTATCTTGAGATGGGCCACATGATCCAAAGACAGCAGTGGCAGCCCACCCTCAGGAAGGCCGTCCTAAGTGCTGTAAGCATTTTACCTCACCCAGTGCTCTCACAGTACTGTGACAAAGGTTAAAGCACTTGCTCAAGGTCACAAAGCTAGAAATGGTACCACTGCCTTATCCCCAAGGCAAGCTGGAGTCTACACTGCCTCACTTTTATACCACCTTATAGTTTAAAAGAATCGCCCCATGTCCAGAAAAACTACAGGTGGGTGGATGGGGGTGGGGGTTGGGGATCAAGGGTGACAACAAAGAGAATTAGAGGCTCACTTGGTAGCTTGGACCATGACATTAAGTGGTGAGAAATGGTCTGTTGTTGGAAATAGGAGGTGAGCTGACAGGGCTTCCTGAGGGTTGTATGAAAGTATAAGAAAGAGAGGGATTGAGGGGACTTCAGAAAGGCACCAGGAGAATTCTGGCTGGTGAAGATGGAGTTTGGTTTGGATATGGCTACTTGGCATCAAAGGAACACATGGAGATGTGGAAGGGGCAGCTAGAAACAGCTGGCTGGAACTCAGAAAGGAGGCCAGGTCTGGAGATGGAGACATGGAAGATGTCAAGGAAAGGTGGCATTAAAGCCAGGAGGCTGGATGAGATCACAAAGGGAGCTATGACAAGAGAGACCAAGACTGGGCCAGTGAGAATCACATTTCCCACCCAAGGTCATGGTAAAACTATAAAACAAGCCCTGGGAGGTGCTCCGCACACAATGCCTGGCCATAAAGGGTTCAAAGGAGGTCTCTCCCAGCCTTGGGCCTCAACAGTGCTTCAGCTGATTGAACACATGCATTTGGCAAACTCTGCCTTGCCAACTGGACCACAGGCCAGCAGCAGACTTCACAGTAGGCTCCCTGGGCCCCTGGCACCAGGTAAAACCAACACTTGGACAGCAACCTTCCTTGGAGTCCACCTGCAATGCTGGCACTGAGGCATCGGCCACGATGGTCTGGCACAGTGGAGACTGCCTTTGGGTCAAGCTTCTCATGCTGCAGCCTCTAGCCCAACCTAGCAGCAGTATGACCTCATCCGTTCCTTTTGTCACCCTCCACAGGGCCTCACATCCAGTGCTCACAGCAGGCACTCAGCACCCCAGAATGGCATTCACCCCCTTTGGGGAGGGATGGCCTGCAACAGGGTTTGAGCCACTCCCACAACGGGGAGTCCAGTCTGGCTAGGAGACAGCAAGTCCTCGCCTAGGGGCTGGCCTCGAACAGCAGACAGCTCGGGCCTGTCGTGTGGTAGGTAGCAAGGGACATGCAAGCATGCAAACCCGCAAACTGAATTCCTACCGCGAGCAACCCAAGTCCATCTGACGATACTTGACAGGAAGCGCTGTCAACAGGTTGCCACCTTCCATTTATTTATGCCATGCTCATTTGTTACAATAAAACTATATCCCAAATATCTATGTGACACTCAATCCAGGAGCGTTTGGTGGAGAAAAGGACTTGGGCAACTTCTCGGGTTCCCAAACTGTTAAAGCCGGCAGGGTCCTGGGCGAGCACGGTCCCTGTCCACACCTTTCCCGCCTGAAAGCAATGCTATGGCTTCGGGCTCACCGGGCGAGAGGCCTCTGTGCCCGGGCGGACAGCGACACGCGCCGGCGACGCCTGGCCCCGGCCCCGGCCCCGGCGGAACCCCGCGCGCTCCCGCGGCCATGTTGCCTCACAAAGGCCGGATGCCGCGCGGCCTGCCCCGCCCCGCCCCGCCCCGAGCCCGGGCCGCGGCCTCGACCCGGAGGGAGGCGGGAGAGAGGTCGCGCCTCCGCGCAGGCCGCAGCCCGCCCGCCCGCGGGGCGCCCCTTGCGCCCCGCACCTACCTGCGGCGCCCGCGGCCTGCCCGAGCCGCCCGCAGCCCGACCCCGGCAGGGAAATCCTCACCGCCCGGCCGCCGCCGCCATCTGGAAAGGCCGCCCGGACTCTCCGGTCGGCGGACCCGCCTGCCGCGCCGGGCGAACGGAGGGCGGGCCTTGGCGGCGCGCGGCCAATCCAGGCGCGCGGCCGCCCCGCATTGGGGGAGCTGCCGAGCGGGCTGCGGAGCCTACCAATCGGCGGCGCGTGGCACGCGTGTCCGCGGCGCGCGGCCCAATAGCGCGGCTGCGCGGGCGGGACCAGGCGCCAGGCCGCGGTCGCGTTAACGGTCGCAGCCCGGGCGGGGCTCTCCGCGCTGAGGAACGCGGCGCGAGGGGAGCTGGGAACGGGGAGCGCAAGGGATGCCGGGAGCAGAGGATGCCGGGAGCGGCACCGCCGCGCGAGCCCACAGGATCTAGTTAGAAGCGCTGGTTCATCAAACATGACTGTGAACAAAGCACGGAGCGCGCTCAGCGGGCGCTCGCCTCTTCGCTGACGCTGCATCAGCAGTCTCGGAAAGTGGAAGTGTGAGTGGAGCGGGCACTTTCCAGTCCAAACGTGGAAGGAACGGCGGACACAGAAACTCGCCAGTAGGCAGCCGAAACCCTGGGTGCTGAAAATAGTGGCGAAATATGAGAAACGTTTTTTGTTGTGTCTTTATAGAGAGTTGCAAAGTTTCTCTCCCAAGAAACTTATTAATTGCAGAGGGAAAATAGCTTTACAGTGAGAAAAAAACCTAGGAGACACCAGTGTAAATATTAATAAGCGACCTAGGTCATGTGTATACGCGTCCAAACTTAGCAAGTGCTACACCTGACATACGTGCAATTGTGCTTCAATAGAAGTGAAAAAAGGCGCCAGTGAAAGATCATACTGTGGGCTGGGCTCTGTGGCTCACGCCTGTAATCCTAGCACTCAGAGGCCGAGGCAGGCGGATGGCTGGAGGTCAGGAGTTGGAAACGAGCCTGAGCAAGAGAGACCCAGTCTCTACTATAAATAGAAGAAATTAATTGGCCAACTAAAATATATGTATATAGAAAAAATTAGCGGGGCATGATGGTGCATGCCTGTAGTCCCAGCTACTTGGGAGGCTGAGGCAGGAGGATTGCTTGAGCCCAGGAGTTTGAGGTTGCTGTGAGCTAGGCTGGACACGACACTCATTCTAGTCTGGGCACAAAGTGAGACTCTGTCTCCAAAAAAAAAGGACATACTGTGGACCTAGAGTGAAGGACGTAGGTTCATTTTTGCGTATTTCTGCCCAAAAGGCAGAACCTGAATAAGGAAAGATCAGACAAAGGCAAAATTAGGAGCATTCTGCAAAATTACCAGCCAATAGCCCAATGAAGTGGCGCATACCTGTAGTCCCAGCTACTCTGGAGGCTGAGGCAGGAGTATCCCCTGAGCCCAGGAGTGGGAGGCTGCATTGAGCTATGATGGTGCCACTGCACTCCAGCCTGGGTGACAGAAAAAAAAATACCATCCAGTGCTTTTCAAAAGTGTCAAGATCAGAGATCATCCAAGTCAAAAACAGACTGAGGAGCCCTGTTTGTTTGAAGGAGACATATCAATTGCAAGATGTAATCCAGGCCCTCTATGCTCAGAAAAGGGAAGTTAGTGGGATGATTGATAAAATTCAAATAACGTCTATAGATTAGTTAATAGTATTGTGTTGACAAAAGATTCTTTGCTTGGCCAAACTTGAGTTAGGCACCTAAACGCCTCTGTGCTCCTCCTTATAAATTCCAGTTTTAGGCCAGGCACAGTGGCTCACGCCTGTGATCCTAGCTACAGGAAGACTGAGGCTGAAGGATCGCTTGAGCCAGAAGTTTGAGACCAGCTTGGGCAACATAATGAGACCCCATCTCTACAAAAATAAGGCCGGGCGCTGTGGCTCACGCCTGTAATCCTAGCTCTTGGGAGGCCGAGGCGGGCGGATTGCTCAAGGTCAGGAGTTCAAAACCAGCCTGAGCAAGAGCGAGACCCTGTCTCTACTATAAATAGAAAGAAATTAATTGGCCAACTGATATATATATATATAAAAAATTAGCCGGGCATGGTGGCACATGCCTGTAGTCCCAGCTACTTGGGAGGCTGAGGCAGAAGGATCACTCGAGCCCAGGAGTTTGAGGTTGCTGTGAGCTAGGCTGACGCCACGGCACTCACTCTAGCCTAGGCAACAAAGCGAGACTCTGTCTCAAAAAAAAAATAAATAAATAAATAAAAATAAAAAATAAAAAAATAAATTAGCCTGGTGTGGCTGGGCACAGTGGCTCACGCCTGTAATCCTAGCACTCTGGGAGGCAGAGGCAGGTGGATTGCTTGAGGTCAGGAGTTAGAAACCAGCCTGAGCAAGAGCAAGACCCTGTCTCTACTATAAATAGAAAGAAATTAATTGGCTGACTAATATATGTAGAAAAAAATTAGCTGGGCATGGTGGTGCATGCCTGTAGTCCCAGCTACTCGGGAGGCTGAGGCAGTAGGATTGCTTGACCCAGGAGTGTGAGGTTCCTGTGAGCTAGGCTGACGCCACAGCACTCACTCTAACCTGGGCAATGAAGCGAGACTGTCTCAAAAAAAAAGCCTGGTGTGATGGTGTGCACCTCCCATCCCAGCTACTCAGAAGGCCAAAGAGGTAGGATCACTTGAGCCCAAGAGTTTCTGGCTACAATGAGCTATGATTGTGCCACTGCATTCTAGCCTGGGTGATAGAGTGAGATTTTATCTCAAAAAAAAAAAAAAAAACCGTTTAGCAAACCCCTACACATATAACTTTGATTTCTGATCACTCTCAGTATCTGATCATCCACCATCCCCAGGTGATGTCTGACACTTGCTGTTGTCTGTCTTCAGCAAGAATCCTGTTAGGTCAATTTAGCCAGAGTTACCCCTGATGTTTTATTAATTTTCCACCCAGTGTCCCCCACCTTGTTCCATGGCTATCAAGTCCCACTTGCCCATGCTGTATTTGGAGTTGATCCCAATCTCTTTCCCCCACTGCAAGACCCTTACAGTGGTCCCTATACCTATAGCAATGGTCCTGAATAAAGTCTTTACTGTACTTTAATAAGTAGTACTGAATGATTTTTTTTAACAGTTATGGTGCTGCACCTCAGAATCAGATTCATCATGGGACCTTCAGGCCTCTCACCAAGGCCCCTGAGTGTGCATCTTTACAACCTTTGTCTTCTCTCCTAACTCAGCCTCCTGAACCATTGCTCTGGACAAACTTTTGTTCAAGCTGGTAAGAACAGACTTTGATTTTAAGGTATATACTCTCTGAAGCTGGGTTAGTGTCCCGAGCTTCTTTTGAAAGGTACCTCCTGGACTGGAATGTCTTCTTGGCTCCTTGTCCTGGTAGGGATTATTCCCTGACTCCCAGGCTGCATGTCTCTACTCCCTGGCTCATTGTGAGACTTCTCTGTTCTCTGTTGGATCCTGCTTCTCCCATGGGAACTTCTCTGTCACCTGAATCCCCTCTTCTTGAACCCCTGTGGACTATATGCTCTGCCAAGTCTGCCCACCTCCTCATTGGCATGAGTTTGCCCTCTGGTTTACTTGAATCCTTGGATATGTCTCCCTTCAAACCCTTACTCTCTCCATCCTCTGTCCCTACTGCCAGACCCCTTTCCTCCCCACAGCCCCTTAGTCACTTGAACTTTAGGCCACATGTTCTCAAGAGACTCAGGGACCCTGCCTTAGTCTGTTTTCTGTTGCTTATAACAGAATACTTAAAACTGGGTAATATATAAGGAGTTTATTTCTTATAGTTAAAAGGCTGAGAAGCCCAAGGTCAAGGGGATACATAAGAGCCTCCTTTCTGGTACAGACTCTGAAGACTCTTGAAGCGGCGCGGTGTATCATACGGCAATGAGGCTGAGCATGCTAAAGCACCAGCTCAGATATTTCTTCCTCTAATTTTTTTTTTTTTTTTGCCCAGGCTAGAGTGAGTGCCGTGGCATCAGTCTGGCTCACAGCAACCTCAATCTCTTGGGCTCAGCAATCCTACTGCCTCAGCCTCCCAAGTAGCTGGGACTACAGGCATGCGCCACCATGCCCGGCTAATTTTTTGTATATTTTTAGTTGGTCAATTAATTTCTTTCTATTTTTGGTAGAGACGGGGTCTCGCTCAGGCTGGTTTTGAACTCCGGACCTCAAGCAATATGCCCACCTCAGCCTCCCAGAGTGCTAGGATTACAAGCGTGAGCCACCATGCCTGGCCTCTTCCTCTTCTTATAAAGCCTCCCGTTCCTGGCGTGGTGGCTCAAGGCTATAATTCTAGCACTCTGGGAGGCTGAGGCAGGAGGATTGCTCAAGGTCAGGAGTTGGAAACTTATAAAGCCTCGAGTTCCCCTCCCATGATAATCCATTAATTCATTAATCCTTGAGGATTAATCCATTCATAATGGCAGAGTCTTTATAATCCAATCACTTCTTAAAGGCCCCACCTCTCAATAATGCTACATTGAGGATTAAATTTCAATATGATTTCTGGATAGGACAAATATTCAAACCATAATAGGCCCCCAAAAGCAATCACCAGAGGCTGAAATAAAAAAAGAAGGCAATTTAGAACCAGAAATTGATGTTTTCTCTACTTGGGTGGGCTGAGGGGCATTCAAATAGCTACTTGATGTCTCCTCAGTCACTTAAAATTTAGTGAGTGGGCCGGGCGCTGTGGCTCACGCCTGTAATCCTAGCTCTTGGGAGGCCGAGGCGGGCGGATTGCTCAAGGTCAGGAGTTCAAAACCAGCCTGAGC